TAAACCAAAGATAGGAACTACATAAATCAATAACTTATAACTACCCAACTTGTAAAATTTCATTTAATACAATTATATTACATTTATTACTTTAAATTACATTTAATACATTACTTTTCATGTTTGAATATGTACCAACTATCTTATCTTGAAATAATTAAGATGTTCAATCAATAAAATGTTTAAAATGTTTTCAAAGAGCGATGCCAATAGCATCTCAGAAAATATTATCGAAATACGAAAATAGAATAATTTATGGTTTAAAGGTGCTAAAGATGCGAACCGGTAGTAGTCTGCGGTCTTACACTTGAGAAACCCCGCAGTAAGGAATACAAACACTGCAAAATGAAATCAAAGGAAATAATAACAGATCATTTAGTCCAATATTGTTTTAGCTGTATATTGTATTAGCTTTCGTAACAATATGACAATTTGTTTATATATGCAAAAAGGAAACACTACTGTGGCTTTGATATCAGCTGAATAAAATCAAAACTCAGTTTGTGTTCAGTTAATTATTATAATAACTTATACAAAACTTAAATTGTAGATTTAAAATATCATTTTAGTGGCACTCGGATGCCAAATTTCTTGAATGGCCTGAATGTGGAAAACCGATTTCTGATCTACACTCAAAAACTATATCAAAATGTATTTTATTATAAAATCTAAAATGTTATATTAATAAAATTATATTTTTTAATAAAATTGAATGTTTCTTCATGTACGAGTGTCAACGTGTTGGAATATTTAGATACCCCGTTGGGGAGTGTCGTAGATGCCAACTTTTATATAATGTTTTAATAATCGAAATTAGCGTATATAATCACAACTATCAATAATCATTTAAATTTTATAGATCAAAAATGTAATAGTAATTTTATTCCCTTCATATTCTTCTTCTTCGAGTTAGTGTCTAAAACTCTCTTATTAATAATGTCTTTGACTGTAATGAGAGCTCCATTGAATTCTGATAATAAGTTATTCAGTTGATTTTTTTGAAGTATAGACAGTCTTGTCTCACATTGTACTTATCTGCACAAGTCCATTAATTTAAATACTTTCACTAAAAATGCTCTACCAGCAGTAAGTCTTACGTTCTAGGAGACCTCAATATAGTATCAATTCTAGACAGAATGTTTCCATCAAACACTTGCAAATGAACGACAATTTGTTGTACAATTTGCAAGTATTTAATATATTTGTATAAAATTTTGCCAAATATTACTTCATAGAAAGGTAATGTTTCTCTTAGTGTCCACAACAATTCTCTTAAATCGCACTCTGTTAGGTGTGCTCTGCACATATCGTTCCATATGTAGTGCGCTTCTGTCTCAATTGTCCTTCTCCAAGTTGAAGCCGGTGCATCAGGGCGTCTGGGTTCCATGTTAAAGCTTGTGGTGAAATGTATTTATTTGCTCGTCGAATAGTATGTCTTATTCAATTCGATTTTCGCATTTTTATTTCGGTTACAGCACCTTTCTGATTTGTTTGGAGCAAAAGTTCTGTATTTTATATGTGGTTAGACCACCATATTTCTAGTATTTTCCGCAGACATTTATTTCAAAATGTTTGTATCTTTCTTTCTATCTGTTTCGCAGCCCTAATAAAGAAAGATAGTGTTTGGTGATGGAATAATAATGTGCTGTTTGTATGATGTTCCAATGAAAAAAGTATCTACTAAAAGATATCAAAAGGTAGTCTGCAGAAGGAAGTTAACTATAAATAATAGAAGAATAAAAACGTTTCGATTATTATATAGAATTAAAATTTCCAGCTTGTTGAATATCTATTTACGATATTTTTTCAAATTATATTTAATCAGTATCAGAAATATACTGTAGGAGGCACTACTATTATCATATTAAATAAATAAAAGCATTTTTTATATAAAAAAGTGTAATAGTTTTATAATAATATTTAATTATTTTTAAATATAAAAAAAAATTTAATAGTAAATTTTTTAATTACTTTTCAAAAAGTTAAGAGAGAATGCTTCTGAAAGAAATATAATATAATTTGACATGAAATTATTAACACGTTCTATTGACTTCCTGTTGAGTTTGTTGCTTAAGTCTTTTGAGTTAATTTAAGTTCTCGATATTCTATAGCTAACTATTATATATAAGAAAATAATCTGAAAAAATGTAATAAATAACATATTTTGGTGAAATTTAAATTAATAAAAAAATAAATAAAATTACACCACGTTCACTATTCACATTATTAATATTGTTTTCTCTGTGTATATTAAAGACTGCATATAAAGACCAAGTCAATCATAAAAAAATGGTTCCATTTTAATTTAATATCTTTCACCCTATTAAATTGAAAATATCGGCATTTCTCACGCTCTTCATTAGCCATATGTATAGCACAAGTGCATGTAAATTGTTTACGGGTATCCAATAAAAATGGATTGTTATACGACGCCATGGTTAACTTCAGCGACAGGAGCAGAGTAATAATACACCTCTGTAGCACTAGTAATGACCAAGCCAAACAATCTAACTCATTTATGGTTAAATTGGTGCATTGTGATCTCAATGCAAAAGAAACATAAGCGGATTTCGTTGACTGTGCTTTTAAGCGGCTTTCTGCAACAGCTTACATGGAATCCTCCAGGCTACAAAGACTCAATTTTCCACTTTTGCCTAACATTTACTTTTTTTTTGTCATCAATAATGTGTGGAAAAACAATTTCTAAATTGATTCAAAAACAGCTTTGGTAACGAGGAACCCGAAGCTTAAATACTTAAAAATTATTGAAAACAATTTTAATTTATTAAATCGCCGTGAAAACGTTTTATTGTTAAATTATTAAAATACCTTTAAACTAAATTAAAATGCAGTTAGTGGATCGCATCGGTGTTGTAATTTTTCCAAACCAAATTAAGGAATTTTGAACCGAAAAAATTTGAGTTTATAAAAGGAATTATAAAAAATTAAACTAAAAACTAAAAATGTTATTAATAAAATGTTTTAATTACATAAAATTTTTGTAGTCAACTAAAAAAGAAAATATTTTTTTTAATTAATTAATTTTACCATACAAGTATAAGCTGTTTCAAGTATTCAAGTCAAATAATCATCATAAATAGTTTGTCGAAATATTCATTGATTTTATAAGTCCGTATATAGTTGTGAAACTATAACTGCCAGACTAAGAAGTTCTAATCTGTCAAATTAGAAGCAATAAATTCACATTAGAAGCAATTCACCAAACGAGCCAAAGCTCCACGAAAGTTTTCGTTGTTCAAATTTCAAGTTATTTGTTCCTTTTTTCCGATTTCTCCGAAAAAGCAAATTATCGAGCTGTTTAGTTAGAACGCGCTTATAAGCCACAGTATATAAAAATTGCAACCAACATTTAGAATTTCTTCATTCAAAAATAATTTCAAAAAAGAAGTATTCTATAGTGCTTTCGTAAAATTAAGATTTAAACTTTTATTAAAAATACTTTTTTTTATATTGAAGCTTTTCGAGCCAGTGCACTTGAGCACTTTTACTCTTTATTAACTCGAGGTATCTTCAAAACCCCTCTTAAGGCATTGACTAGATTAATGTTTATCACTTCATCACACTAAACAATAATTGACCTTAATTATTAATTACTATCCTTAATTATTATCCTTATGCCATTTGTACTTTACTACAAATTTACCTACAATAATCCCCTTATTACAACATTAGTGGAATATCAGAGAAAGAACTATTATTATACATATATTATTATGAGGAAAATTTGCCTTTCAGATCTATTGTGCAATTCCTGCTAAAAGAATCTTAAGCTAACTTAGATGATTTAAACTATATTACTATATATACTTTATTATATACTATATTAAACTATGACTCAATATATCTGGGTTTAAAATACCTGTCGTCACTCAGTGCAATGAAAGTATTACTGAATGTACTACACAGAGTTTACATAATCCAAATTTATGCATATCCAAATACATAAAAACCAAATTTTCATTCCATCTTTTGAAGATGGTAGTCAACAGAACCATCTGCAGATAAGAAATCAATAATAAATCTATGTTCAGAACTGTTTGACCTGTCAATATTTTTATTAAACAATTGTTAATCAACTTTCCCAAGCGGTTTTGTAGGTCTATGGTATATTTCTGCATACATATATATATATTATGTTCTTCATATTATCTTTTTTACTGCGCAGACTTTAAGCTCTCCATGTAACTGTGTATTAGTAACATACCAAAGCACGTTAACAATAATTCTTAGAAGTTTTGACTGGAAGCGTTGTAATATTACCAATATCACATTGTAGCAGTTCCACAAAGAAATTACAGATCGGTTTTAATACCTCTTTATTCTATTCTTGAGTTTCACCCTATCTATGAACATATACATACTACTTAATTTAATGTTCAATGCTTTGCATTTTGTGAACATGTGGTGGTGCCATGTTAATCTTGTGTCAAGATGCTTACCAATGTTGACTGAAGTATCGAAACATTATTTAAACGAACTGGAGGGCAAGAGTATTCCAGAAATTTTACCAGAACTAGTTCGTAATTTGCTTAATATCAGTTCAAGTTCAGTATCTTTCAACAAAGGATGAACACTATAAGCTGAATCTGATAACATTATAACTTTATAAAAATATCGCACTAAAATATATTTTTTTTCGGTAATCTCTATCATTTGTACTCCATCTCTCTATAATTTAAACAGCTACCCCCTAAAATTATGTACCACTTTTTATTCATATAGTTTTACAACTAAAAAATCTGTTGGTCTATAAAAACAGATGTCTGTTTTATCCACATTATTATAACAAAATGGAACAAATGGAAATTACTACATCAATTCGTCTCATAAAACATAAACACTTTATGGAGTTTCTTATAGAACTTTATTTCAGGAAACCAAAAGTAATAAATATTTTCTTTGAACAGTATATATTCTAATGATATTGTATATATTCATTTTTTGATATACAAGTTTAGAACTATGTTAACACTTAATCATACTTAGGTTGTTTTATCAATTAAAGGTTAAATAGCAACTGCAGTCTATAATTTATATTACAACTAGATAACTAATTGTAGATAAAAATTGAATTTCAGTTTATGCGAACAATAAGTACGAAAGAAAAATATTATAAAATGAAGATCGTCATTTCACAGAGTTATCAATACAATATTGATTAGTTCACTTAAAATATTAGTTTTAAGTTGCGCTTTAATTATTCTTGAAATATATTAATTCTTATTTTAGAATGTAAATCACCTAGCTATTACTGCATATTTAACTCTTGCTATATGCAGATACTGCGAAACGATTTCTTAGTGCTAATGTTAAATTATTTTTGTGCATTTCCACTCCTATTACACAATTCTACATAATCCGTAATTTGTTTCACTTGCTGTTTATATATTCGTAACCACATGCCTTCTGCAGTTTCATTTTGAGAATGCTGTCCCTCTAAGAAATCGCTTTCCTCTGAATCTGCAACGGTTTCTTCTTCTTCTGACAAATCCATTGTACCATCTTTCTCATCTGACTCAGTTGCGAGCGTACGACTTGTATCACTATTGTAAATTGATTCTTTTGAAGAACTTAGATCAGATGAAGAAGTCAAAGAGGTTGCACGAGAACCGCTGCTTGCGCTAGTTTCAAATACGCTTTCCGGAAAGCAGGAACTTGTAGATGGAATTGTAGATTCAGTTGGATTTGGTGCATAGACAAACTATAATCAATTTGACAAGAAATTTGTTTTAATTATATAATAAAAATAATATATTGCTTTCATATAAAACTTGACAAAAAGTATTTTACGTTTTATCGTTTGTTTGGTTTTAAAATAACTTCAAAATAGCTAAGAAGAGCTCATTACTGATGAATACTGGTGAATATTTAGAAGATTTAAATTTTATACATTATAAAATTACTGTATTATTTTTGTAATATTAACATCGGATAAGCTGGCTCATATCCCTTTTTTCTTCAGTAACCAAAGTTACTTAGTTTTTGATGTTTAAGCCAATGAAATCTCAAGTAATGAAGAGTAATATACAGGCGCGGGATTTCGATTTGAGTTGCCTATGTACAAAATCATAGATGCCAATATAAGTGGAAATTAATGGAAGTTTAAGCATATTGTTTCATAGAACAGTATTCCACATCACACCACTTAAACCCACATACAACTTAATTTCCTGACCTATATGATAATATTGTACTACAAAACGAACGCACATTAAAGTACTAACATACTTAATATTTTATCTTTTCTTATTTTTTTAAAAGAATTCAGCAGTCTCATTGAGTAGCCCTTGTTGACATGGAACAGCCGATTAGGGAAACATGCTAGAAGATTGAATCCACCGTTTAATCATTTCTGTCGAATTTATGGAGAGGACGATGAAAGTGCCCCACATCTGTTTTGTTACTGCCCAACGAATGTGCAGTGCTGATTAACTATATTGAGGACTTCATTTTTTGAGGATCTTGACCAGCTTCAGGACTTCCCTCTAAAAAGCATTTTAAACTTTGCCAGAGGTTCAAGGTGATTTTTAAGCTTCTGGGTTCTTATGTAGTAGCCCAATAGGCCTAAGTGGTCCTTAAGGTCACTGTTATAACCTAACCTTACATAAGCTATAGTAACTTTTAATTTCTAAACTATAGTCTATAGTCTGTTTTGCTTTCCGCTGACAATACTTACTTGTGAACTTGATGGATTGAATAATGGTGGTTGAGTTTGCCACCTGGAAAGTATTGGTTCAATATTAACTGGTGAAGGGAAATGTTTTGTGAGTGGCTTCTTATCAACAATAGGCTCTGATATGGGAATATTGTCAAGAATATTCTGTGCGGTATCACTGTTGCTTTGACTATTAGAGTTATTATCCATATTTGTCGCATGAATGTCTTCTGACCTTAAGTTACAAAAGTCAGTAAAAAAATCATTACGAAATATAGCAGGAGTAACCGGATCGATTGTAACATCGTTTTTATCAGTCTGAAATAATTTACATATTTAAAAAGAATGTGCATCAACATATATTGTTATTTATTGGAACATTTAGTAAAATATTACTTAAAAACAATGGTTAATTTTAAAGAGTTGATATGTGAGATGCACCGTACAAATTACAATATCAAGTATGATCTAATATGATACATAATATAATTATATAAAAAATTGAATATCTATCTATTCTATTATAATGTATATGGTACTTACCATATTTGGTAACATTTTTTCTAATTTATTATTAAACATTCTTTCTTCATCTTCCTTGTCATAAACCTTTACTGCAGCAGTGTTCCTATTTAAGTTTTCTTCATATAAATCGCAGATATTTACTAAAGGTGCGTTATTGTTTTTTTCATGTAACAGTGTCTTAATAATATTCTCTTGATTTAAGTTCAGTTTTT